CCAGCAGGATGGAGACCCGGAGTGGGACGGCCAGCAGGATGGAGACCTGGAGTGGGACGGCCAGCAGGATGGAGAACCGGAGTGGGACGGTCAGCAGGATGAAGACCTGGAGTGCGACGGCCAGCAGGATGCAAGCCCGGAGTGGGACGGTCAGCAGGATGGAGACCCGGAGTGGAGTGGGACGGCCAGCAGGATGGACACCCGGAGTGGGACGGTCAGCAGGATGGAGACCTGGACTGGGACAGTCAGCAGGATGGAGACCCGGAGTGGGTCGGCCAGCAGGTTGGAGACCCGGAGTGGAGTGGGATGGCCATACAAAAAGTGACTACTAATTATACAACTAGTAATTATAGTGCTCATTCAATACTGAACTTAAGAAATCCATAGCCTAATGTTAATGTGAATTGTACATCAAAACTCATAATAGCATGAAAAAAATCATTTCCTCCTCGTAACATTTATGTGCAGGATAATACCTTGACTCACAAATGTTGGTCTGTTATCTGTGAAGAACTAGTGTCAACTTTTACACGAGATATATGTAAAATTCCAGGTCTTCTGGCCATAAAATGGGTAGTTGACTTTTAAATGAGATCAAATTTTACTCAAGTATGTTCGATAGTGAGCCTTCTCTACTGCCACCAATGCCAGTATTTCTTTCCTTACATAGGGGGACCAAAGCTCTTTACAGTATTCCAGCTGTAGTCTGACTAAAAACTTGTGTTGTTTTAGAACTCCCCATTTTTGTACTCCATTTCCATTGAAATACAGGCCAACAGTCTGTTTGTTTCCCCTACTAAACCCCAAACTTGGAAGCTAGCTTTTTGAGATTAATGCATGGGAACACCCCAAATCAGTTGGAGCTGACATTTTCTGCAGTTTCTCCATTGAAATATAATTCAACTGTTCTATTCTTCCTGCCAAATTGCATAACCTTACCTTCTCTCATGTTATATCTCAAGCACCAAGTTCTTATTCACTCACTTAATCTGTCTAGATCTCTCTGTAGGCTAGTGGTGTCATCCACAGTACTTGTCTTCCCATATATTTTTGTGTCATCCATAAACTTAGCAATAGTATATTCATTTTCCTCATCCAAGTCATGAATGTATTTTGTAAATTATGACTCCAGCACTGATCCTTGTTTAATGACAGGTTGTCATCCTGAAAATGCCCCCTTTATCCCAAATTTCTGTTTCCTATTAATTATGATGTGGAGGTGCCAGTATTGGACTGGGATGGACAAGGTCAGAAAACACACAACTCCAGGTTATAGTCCAACAGGTTTATTTGAAATCACAAGCTTTCTGAGTGCTGCTCTTCCATCAGGTGAAGTCACTTCAAAAGCTTGTGATTTCAAATAAACCTGTTGGACTATAACCTGGTGTCATGTGATTTCTGGCCTTCTATCAGTTAGCTAATCCTCTATCCATGCTAATGCTCATGTACTATCCACAACACCATAGGCTATTATTAAGTAGCCTTCTTTTTGGTACTTGGAAATTCAAATATATTACATCTACTGGTTCCACTTGATCTATCCTGCTTATTCCGTCCTCAAAGAACTGTAATAAATTTGTCAAGCCCTTTGCCCTTTACTGTTAAGTATTTTTGATATGCTGTTTATCCACTACCATGAAGATCAATGCAAAGTATCTATTTAATTCCTTTGCCAGTTCCTGGCTCCCTATTATTCTTTCCCCAGTTTAATTATCACAGGGGACTATGTTCCCTTCAGCCCCTCTCTTTTCATATGAAAACAATCACTGACTGTCCAATTTTATATTCATTGCTAGTTTGCTGTCATTGTTCTATTTTCTCCTTCTTTGTTAATTTTTTGATTACCTTTTATTGAATTTTAAAACTTACCGAGTCCTCTGTTTTATCAGTAACATTGTATGTTTTCTTTCAGTTTCATGTTATCCTTAACTTCCTTGGTTAAACATGGTTGATTTATGCCCTTCCTTCTTCCTCACTGGGATTTGTTTTTGTTGTGACTCATGAACAATTTTCTTAAATGTCTGCCATTGTTCCACACCTGTCTTTTCTGCAAAACCTCTTTCCCTGTCCACTCCAGCCAACTCTGCCCTGTTCTTCTATAATTACCTTTGGAATACTAAATTCTAAATCGTTATGGTTGTTATTCCCCAGGGGATATTTATTCTGAAATCATTTATTAATCCAGCCTTGTTACACATTGCCAGATGCAAAATAGTCTGTTGCCTGGTTGGATTCACTACACATTGTTCCAGGAAACTGTCTTGAACATACTCAACGAATTCTTCTTCATTGGCTATCTTTGCCAATTTGATTTTCCCAATCTATATGAAGATTAAAGTCACAAATGTTTAATGCTTTTCTCTTTTCCCGTGCTCTCTTATCACTTGACTTAATATCTGTCCTACAGAACAGCTCCAGTTAGAGGGCCTAAAGACTCCTCCCACCAGCAACTTCTTCCCCTTGTTATTTCTGTCCTCCACCCATATTGATTCTCCGTCATCAATCCTAGATCATTCCTTGATATTGATACTTATTCCATTTTGTACGATCAAAGCGACCCCACCACCACTTCCTTCCTACCTGCCCTTTCAAAAAGCCACATACCCTGGAATATTTAGTTGCTGTATCGGATTTCTTTATGACCAATTTTTCTGTCAGATCATACCTATTAACATGTATTTGTGTCATTAATTAATTCATTCATTCATTTGTTCTGAATAATTCTGATTTAAAGTGAAAAGGCCATTAATTTTGACACTTTATCATTTTTCTTCTTTGACTGATTTGTTGCAGTTGCAATGTAAATACAAACACATTATTGTGGGGGGTGGGGGGGGGGGGAACGTGCGGAAGGTGGGTGTGCAGAAAGCTCAGCAATTGCTTGGGCCTGTTGGCAATTACTGCAGCGACTTTATAACTTCATGTAACTTTCCTGGTGCACCACTGAATTCTAAGATGTGGTGTCGTTATATTTCTTCTTGTGCTCATGAAAACGCTCAGCACTAGAACCAACAGTCATTAAAACAAACCAGTGTCTTGACAGAAATCTTAGATGTCTAAACACATGAAAAGATGAAATTAGGTCAGTTAAATGAATAGCAGATACCTTTAATATCTTTGTGTAGCTGATGACAATGATTAAACCTGGAATGATGAAGATCAACAGGCCATAGGTCACATCCCAGCTGATCTCGTGCACTGTATTGGGCCACACCAGGGTGCAAATCTGATAATCCTGTTTAACATCAAAAACAATACATTACTTGAAAAGTGGGTTGATTCCACTAATGGAATGATGAACCTTAAACTGGAGAATGATCCAAAACAAACTCTTGCTCTAATGAAGTCAATCTAATGAGGCATTGTGCAACTTATGAAATATAAAATGTTACCAATAGACGAGTATTATATGTAACATTCCTTCTTGGGTTCTCCACTTGAAGGCAAGTCTGACCCAACATGGGTAAGCCAAGTCCCAACAGAATAGGGTTTGGTCCCCATGATGTTGGCACCAATTTGATCCCCACTATTTGTCCAGCCTAATGAACCACTCAAGCAACTTAAAACATTGTGGCAACATACACTTGTGCACACATGTTGTAGCCAATGGTTGAGTCTCTAAAATCCTTTCCATCACATTGGTAACCAGGAAATCCTCCTGCTCTTACCAACTGTCATTGACACATATTGGAAGGATTCAGCAGCTGTCCATAGAATCCCTACAGTGTGGAAGGAGGCCATTCAGCCCATCAAGTCCACACTGACCCCCTACCCTATCTCTGCATTTCCCACCCTAGACACTGTGGCCAATTTAGCATAGCCAATCCACCTAACCTGCACATCTTTTGGACTGTAGGAGAAAACCCCACGCAGTCACAAGGAGAATATGCAAACTCCACACAGACAGTTGCCCAAGGCTGGAATCGAACCCAGGTCCCTGGTGCTGTGAAACAACAGTGCTAACCACCAAGCCATCATGCCATCCCTTTAAACACTCAACCTTATTAATGCATACTTGTTGACCATCAAATGGGATTTCAACTCACAGCTTCTAGTTCAGAGGTGGGGATACTGATCACTTGAAGTACTATTTACCTAATATTTCATAAAATATACTTAAAAGCAAACCACGTTTTGCTCTTCTTTCACAAATTATGTTGTAAAAAATTGCTTAAAAATAAAAACCTTTTTCAATTCCTTACTAATTCCTCCTCACTCAACATAAACCTTTTTCTCAATTATTTGCGTGACTATTTCTCCTCCTTTTTGCTTGGATTTGCAGTTCTTGCCTGAAACTCACCGGTGGAGCAATGAAAGATTTTTCCAATAACCAGTATCTTAATTAGATTTACTGAGTACAGAGTGAATTTATTAGCAAGTTGCAATGAGTAACTCCCTGTGTCACCACCACAAATTTCAGCCCTTAGGAGTAATAGTAAAAAGGATTATTACTTGAATGGTAAAAAGTTGCAGCATGCTGCTATGCAGAGGGACCTGGGTGTCCTTGTGCATGAATCACAGAAGGTAGGTCTGCAGGTACAACAAGTAATTAGGAAGGCAAATGGAATTTTGTCCTTCATTGCTAAAGGGATTGAAATAAAAAGCAGAGAGGTTATGTTGCAGCTGTACAAGGTGCTGGTGAGGCCACACCTGGAGTAGTGTGTGCAATTTTGGTCTCCTTACTTGAGAAAGGATGTACTGGCACTGGAGGGGGTGCAAAGGAGGTTCACTAGGTTGATTCCGGAGTTGAGGGGGTTGGCTTATGAGGAGACACTGAGTAGATTGGGATTATATTCATTGGAATTCAGAAGATTGAGGGGGGATCTTATAGAAACATATAAAATTATGAAGGGAATAGATAAGATAGAAGTAGAGAGGATGTTTCCACTGGCAGGTGAAGCTAGGACAAGAGGGCATAGCCTCAAGATTAGATGGAGCAGATTTAGGACTGAACTGAGAAGGAATTTCTTCACCCAGAGGGTTGTTAATCTATGGAATTCCTTGCCCAGTGAAGTAGTTGACACTACTTCAGTAAATGTTTTTAAAAAAAAGGTAGATTTTTTTTGAACAATAAAGGAATTAAGGGATACGGTGAGAACGCGGGTAAGTGGATCTGAGTCTATGAAAGGATCAGCCATGATCTTATTGAATGGCGGAGCAGGCTCGAAGGGCCAGACGGCCTACTCCTGCTCCTAGTTCTTATGTTCTTATGTTCTTACGTTCAACAAAATGAGAAACCTCAAACAATGGGACACAACACAGCCATTTCAGGATTGCCAAGAAAAGTGTTTGAATAGTCTAATCACTTGCTTTATGATACTTAACACTTGTAACATTTGAAAATGAAACAATGTTTTGCTTTGTTTTGTATTGCTGGCTGTTAGTTTTTCTTATTTATCCAATTTTTTCATCCCTTCGCACTCAACCTATGAAAGATTTGTGGTGGTAAGAATAGTTACTGATTATTTGGCCAATTTTTATTCTTCAAACATTTTGAGAGTTAAGACTTTTAAGTGTGAAACTTTAAGCAAATGTGTGATACGAAAACATTAGATGCAAAATCTTCAATTGCATAGCTATTCTGTATAAAGCACAATGAAACAGAAATTCAAGAATTCTTTTATATTAAAGGGTCCACTGTTATATAAATGATTTGCGTAAGAATTTAGGAGGCATGGTTAGTAAATTGCAGATGACACCAAAATAGGAGGTATAGTCGACATTGAAGAAGGTTATCTTACAAAGGGATCTTGATCAGTTGGATCAATGCACTGAGGAGTGGCAGATGGAGTTTATTTTGGATAAATGTGTGGTATTGCATTTTGATAAAATGAACAAGGGCAGAACTTATACAGTTAGTGGTAGGGCCCTGGGCAGTGTTGTCAAACATAGAGACCTAGGAGTTCGGATACATAGTTCGTTGAAGTTTGGGTCATAGGTAGACAGGGTGGTTAAGAAAGCATTTAGCATGCTTGCATTCAATGCTCAGGCCATTAAATATAGGAATTGGGGTGTCATGTTGCGATTGTATAGAACATTGGTGAGGCCACTTTTGGAGTATTATGTACAGTTCTGGTCACCCTGCTATAAAAAGAATGTTATTAAATTGGAGAGGGTTCAGAAAAGATTTACAAGGATATTGCTAGTTCTGGAGGGTTTAAGTTATAAGGAGAGGCTAGACAGGCTGGGATTTTGGTCGCTGGAGTGTAGAATGTTGGAGGGGTGACCTTATAAAGGTTCATAAAATCATGAAGGGCATAGATAAAGCGAATAGCAAAAGTCTTTTCCCTAGGGTTGGGGATTTTAAAACTAGGGTGCATATTTTTAAGGTGAGAGGAGAAAGGGACCTGAGGGGTGACTTTTTCACACTGAGGGTGGTGTGTATATAGTATGAGCTGCGAGAGGAAGTGGTAGATGTAGGTACAGTTACAACATTTAAAAGATATTTGGATAGGTACATGAATAGGAATGGTTTAGAGGGATATGGGCCAAACACATGGGACTAGTTTGGTTTGGGAAACTTGTTCGGCATGGACAAGTTGGACCAAAGGGTCTGTTTCTGCGCTGTATGACTCTGTGGCTGTGTAAATACAGAACAATTACTTGATAGTTGTTGAGATAGGCTGATGTGCATCAGACCCCCGTTATCAATAACCCCTTTGGGTTGTGTGTACTGTTTTGTAACTCGGTAATAGCAGTGCTAGCAATAAGTTATATACAGTCAAGCTAACCGACTATCTGTATTTTGGCAGAGTAGAGGTCGGTGTGTTTTTAAACACAGGCTTAAAGCTCAACCCATCAACCTCCAAATGCCTGTGACTTTTTTTTAACATGCCTGGAGGGCTAACAGTCCTGTCAAATTTTTAACATTTAACATATAAATACAGTCAAGCCAGCCACCTGGCATCATGCTATGCTCCATTTTAAAGTTTGAAAACACAGCTTTATGTTCGCTGCAGTTCTTCTGTCAAGATTGAAAACACAATCAACTCAACAATAAGGTACAGCAACTGCTCTGCCCAGGACTGTAAGAAACTACAGAAGGTGGCGTGCACAGCTCAGACCATCACGGAAGCCAACCTCCAATCCATGGACTGTATTTACATGGCTCGCTGCCACAGAAAGGTGTCCAATATCATGAAAGACCCATTACACCCCCTACAACCTCTTCCTTCAGGCAGAAGATACAGAAGCCTGAACACACGCAAGACCAGGTTCAGGAACAGCTTCTTTCTGGTTGTTATCAGACTGTTGAATGGACTCTAGCCTCAAATAATGTAACCTGCAATGTAGCCTGTATGCCCCTAAGTCTTTTTGATCTGTACATCCTTTGTTTGCTGTGATCTACCTGTACCACTCGTAAACAAAGCTTTTCACTGTATTTCAGTACACGTGACAATAAAATCAATCAATCAATCAATCAATAAGTAGCAGTGAATAACTCCCTGTGTTGCCACTCCAAGTTCCACTGCTTTTCAATGACTTGTGAACGAAGTTATGTTGCGGGGTCTGAAGCAATGCAATTTTTACGCATCAAACCAGTGCTCAACTCTTACTATTGTGTGAAGCATGTTCTGTTCTGCAAAGGTAGTCAAGGATACGGGCCAAAGGCAGGTACATGGAATTAGGCCATTGATCAGCCATGATCTCATTAAATGCTGGAACAGGCTTGAAGGGCTGAATGGCCTACTCCTGTTCTGATGTGATGAAGGGGTCGACATGATTGCTCATTGTTGTATTACTGTCTCATTACAAAGCAGATGTGTTGCTGTTGAGTCCTGGGAGCACAGGGGTGGTGTCGGAATTGGTGGCAAGGGGGTTGTTGGTTCTGGCAGAGGGAATGGGGTGAGGGTGTGCGTTCTGGGGCAGTAAGTTGAGGGTGTGAGTTCAGACAGGGGGGAAGTGAGAGTGTGAGTTCTGGGGCAGGGAGAGTGAACATGTGAGTTCTGGGGCATGGGGAGCGAGGGCGAGTTCTGGAGGAGGGGGAGTGAGGGTGTGAGTTCTGGTGTAAGGGGTGGGGTGTGAATGCTGGATCCCAGGCAAAGGAGTTGTGAGGTCCTGGGGCAGGGTGATGGGAGGCTTCAAGTCCCAACCAGATAGGGTGGGTTGGGTTCTTGAGTTTAGGGGTGTTTTTGTGTCCCAGTAGGGAAGATTGGGGTTATGTGCCTTGGGTGGAAAGGGGGGATTGTCAGGTCCCAGGGGGAGAGGGGGTTGTTGGGGGTAGAGGCAAGGTGTTTGGATGTTGGCCTGGGATGTAAAAGGTCTGGGAGAGGTATAGTTGAGGGTGTGTGGGATAAGTTGTCATCAGTTGAACAGTTACCAAGGAGTTAGATTGAATTTTTAATCGTCTAACTTATCTTGAGTTACTATTTACTTAACTGCAGCAGGACCATCCAAATTCTTCAATTTAAATGGATACTTTTGGTGGAGAAGTGCCAATCGCAATCTTCAATTTCCAGATCAGTTCCCTCAGAGACTGTTATGTCAGAGTCCCAATGCACACCTACACTATAGAAATAACTCCCCGGTAAACAGGGACTACAGGCATGCAAAATACCTTAGTCATGCCCACCGATCAAATGCAACAAAAATGTGAATTTGTTTAAATTACAGTCATCCAGGTAACAGTCACAGGTTGGATCAGTGCTACTGACACAGCTTTGTACAAAGTTAGTCAAGCATTTCTGCTCCAATTGTTAACAGTTACTGATAACAGTGAGTAAAAAATGGCAAAATTAATTCTTTCAACTGTTTAGATTTGGGAGTTAAACTATTTATACATTAGGATCATTTAATGTAGAAAATCAACCCTAATCATTGCACAGAGGCTGCATCAACGTTAGGTTTTTGCTTTAGGAAATAAAAGTTTTTCAAAGCAGCCTGTCAGATTAAAGGTTAATCCACTTGCTACCCAGGTATGCTGCACTGTTGAGACAGAAATGTACTGAAAACTAAACGGGACTCAGTACGATATAAACCCACTGTTAAATTCTGCTTTGTGATGGTGAGATCCATTAGATTGGTCTTACCTGGTTTTTAACCTGAATGGTCATCACTTGAAAATGTATGCACAGAGGTAGAGATGTGATGGCAGAAAACAGCCAAACTATCAGCACAACTGCTGTCACCAACTTGCAATGCAGGGGAGCTTTCAAGCGTAGGTTGAGGATGGAGATGAATCGCTCGATGCTAATGGCAGCTACAGTGATGATGGTCACCTCACCACTTGTGGCCATGACATACAAAAGGGCGCGACACGTGTAAGCTCCAAGAGTCCACGATCCAGTCCAGCGAACGACAATGATGATCGGGATGACAGCCACAAACACAATGTCAGCCAGGAAGAGATTCAGCACCAAACACTGGAAATTGATGAGTTTCTTGCCCTTTATGATAAGTGCCATCATAAAGATATTGGTCAGCAAGGAGATCAGAAAAACCAACACCAGCACAATTGTCTCGATGGTAACTATAAGAATTTGGTCAGAGGACCTGATTTCAGAAAAATAGGCGAAAAAGGTTCTGTTTGTCTCATAGCCTTTGGATGCAGTATAGAAATTAGGTTCCATCTTTGGCCTGCTCACCAGTACAGTGCACAGGGTTGTGCCTGAAATAAAATTGTCAAAGTTCTTTGGGTTGGGCTTGAGTTAAATTCAGAAGTGCTGCTCGTACAACATATCCTTCATTGGAATCTAAACATTTTCAACTGATAGCTACCAACACAGAACATTTATCAAAGGCCATCCCTACAGGGACTCATAAAATGTTATCAGCTCCTCCTCAATGTGTTTTTTATTGGATAATATTTAATGTGTCAGCTCTTAGGATATTACTTCCGTATTGATGCCCAATGAGGAAGTAAAGCCTGAAATAATCATAAATTACTTCGACAACCAGGGACTAACCTACTGATCATATTGATTAGAGATTATTATCCCTGATTAATGAAAAGCCTTTTCCATACTCTTACACATTTACCTGGCGATTCCCAGTAAAACATAGATAATTATATGACCCCTACTGAACTTCTCTGTATTTATAGTCAAAACTTCTTTCAAAGTTCATAAAATCACGAATAAAATGTCATCACTTTACTATTTCAAATACATTATGTGATATAATGACATGGTCTACATTTTCTAGCATTTTTCATACTACATTTTCTAGCTGCATATACAGAAATTTAGTCAATCGATAGAAGATCTAGACTTTTCCTTTTGCTCTTGCTATTGTTCCTATGTAGAGGGATTCAAGGAGCTAATAGTTACTGTTGGGCTATTGTATGAATGGTATAAAGTCATAAAAAATCTCTAGCGGGTGTAAGCATCCATCACCTCTAGTAGGATGTCATAACTCCAGATACAGATTCCCCTCCCCTCCTTTGTCAGCATTCCCCAGCGACGTTCCCTCCAGGACACCCTGGTTCACTCCTCCTTCACTCCAACCCCTCCCCACAGCCCTACAGAACCTTTCCATGCAATCACAGAAGGTGTAACACCTGCCTGTTTACCTCCTCACTCCTCACTATCCAAGACCCAGACTCACTGTCACAGTGAAGCAACAATTTACCTGCACTTCACTCAACGTAGTCTACTGTATTCGCTGCTCACAACATGGCCTCCTCTACACTGGGGAGATGAAACACCAACTAGGTGACCACTTTGCAGAACACCTACGTTCTGTCTGTAAAAATGACCCTGAGTTTCCAGTTGTCTGTCACTCCAACAGACCACTGTATTCCCATGGCAACATTTCGGTCGCAGGCCTGATGCAGTGTTCCAGTGAGCCTCAGCGCAAGTTGATGAAGAGTTATCTAGACTCAAAACATTAGCTTGCTTTCTCTCCATGGCTGCTGCCTGACCTGCTGTGATCTCCAGCATGTTTTGTTTTCAGTCGAAGATCAACGTCTCATTTTCCACTGGTGACCCTGCAGCTTGAAGGACTCAATATTGAGTTCAATAACTTTAGAGCCTGATTCCATCCTTCCATGTTTTGTACCCACTCCACACCTGTTATAACCTGGGTTCTTTGAGCACAGTCAACAATTCTCACCCACTTTCAGGCCTATTATCGCATTGCATGGGCTGCTTTCGGGACAGATTGCCCATTCTCTCCTAATCCCAGCTCTCACTATCACTTTTTCAGCTTCTCCTTTGTCCTGATCCACTAGCAATAATCCCCTTGTTTGCCTAGCTTTTCATATTGCTCTCTCCCTCTGGGCTCTATCTCCATTTATCCACTCCACTTCTTCTCTCCTCCCCTTCTGCCTCAACTTCTTCTTCAGCATAAATGCCACTTTTTCCTCACAGCTATCAGTTCTAATGAAAAGTCACCACACTCAAAACCTTAAGTCTTCTTTCTTCCCACAGACCTGCTGAGTTTCTTCAGCATTTTCTGTTTTTGTTTCAGATCTTCAGCATCCACAGTTCTAGGTTCTATTTTTGCTAATAGGATCAGGGCTGCTGCCTCGAGATTTATGTTCTTTTCTTAATTGTGATCATTTGTGGACCCTGCATAAAATCATGGCTCATGTACATGGATACAGAGAAGATAGTGTTTAAATTATTTCAAACCATAAAATGCTGTTGCATAAGTTGGGTTTATGAATATTGTACTTTTCGCATCATTGTTCTGTTGCACTATTTCAACTGACCTCATTATGATGGGAAATCCAGCATGTCAATGATAGAATTTTTCTTAACCAGCCTTAGGAGTGATTTGATTCACTCCATTTCTACTTTATTGCCAGATATTGCACACTCTTCACATTGATTTGTTGCTTTTATAGATCCTTGGTAGCTATTCATTTCTCATTTTAATATCATTTCCTATCTCCAAACATTATATGAAATGATTCTGAAATCTTACATTGGTTGTATGATCTGCAGTGATATAATCCAAGAAAACAATTACTTTTTTTTTCATCCAACTAGTGGATTTCAGAAAGCTAAACAAACAAATAGCTCTCAGTGAAGTGAAGGTCAGTGCTTTGTCTTCATCATATTAGATGGAACCATTGAGCAACATTCCAAAATGTTGCCAATCTCCAAATTCCCTCTTTCCCTCTGCCAATAGACCCTCAGTGACCCTCCTTTGCAACAGACTATAAACTGAGAGATGCCGCAAATGTTGTTGACTCTAGATGGAGCCCTTCAACGTGATCTCCTCTACAGCCACTACAATGCTGTCCATACCCTGCTCTGAACTTGGAGTTGCTCCTTGCAGCAGGTAGCAGATTTCATTGAGGAGCTCCCTGCTGAAGCATTGATATCTGACATACTGTTCCTTGCTAAATTTCCTATGGGAGAATAATCCCTAAACATCCTGGGCAGATATAGACTCCTTCTGAAAGCCCTCCATCCTGTTTTTCACCTCCCTCTTCAAGTAGCTCGCCTGTATTTTCTCTCCCATTCCTATAGTAGTTCAAGGGAGATACATACAGCTGTACCCTGTTTGTGAGGAAGTGGGTTTGTACAGAATCTATGAAGTCAGGACAATGCCCTTCAGCAGGTTCTCACTGCCTTCTTGTTAGGGCTGCCCATAACCGAGCAACACAAAATATCCGACGGCTGCCCATGGCTAATGCAGCAGAATGGGGTTGATAGTAACTTATTCAAGGTTGATGAATCTGCCTAATGTGGATGTGCCGATGTTGGACTGGAGTGGAAAAGGTCAGAAGTCACACGACATCAGGTTATAGTCCAACAGTTTTATCTGAAATCACAAGCTTTTGAAGCTCTGCCCCTTCGTCAGGCAGAGAGGCAGACAGGCACAGAATTTATAGCAGAGAAATCAAAAGATTATATGAATTGTGTGAGTGGAGGGTCAACAGATTGAATAATAAGTCTCTGCAGGTGATCAAAAGTGTCAGATGGTGTGAGTAAAGTGTCAACAGCTGAATAGCAAGTGAAGAAGATGACTTATAATCAATTAATTGAGGCAGAGAGATAATTGCAAAAAAAAACTAAAAATAAGGAGACAAACCAAATGACTGGAATAAATGATAGATATAAGAGTTGTATGCCGAGGGTCTAACCAAAGTAACAACTAATCCAAACCTGTATAAACTAATTAAAGTAGAGAGATCATAACAATTTATCAAGGTGATGGTGTCAAAACAGGACAATAAGGAAGATTTTACAGATACCAAACAGTGTGGTGGGTTCACACGTAGCGCGACATGAACCCAAGATCACGGTTGAGGCCGTCCTCATGGGTATGGAACTTTGCCATCAGCCTGTGCTCAGCGATTCTGCACAGTTGTGTATCTTAAAGGCCTCCTTGAAGGATGATTATCCAAAGATCGGAGGCTGAATGTCCTTGACCACTGAAGCATTCCCCGACTGGGAGGGAATATTCCTGCCTGGTGATTGCGTCTGCATGGTCTCACCAATATACCATCCCTCGGGCATTCTTGCCTGCAGCATATGAGGTAGACAACATTGGCCAAGTCACATGTGTGTACTTGATGGGTGGTGTTCCCACATGTGATGGTAGTATTCAAGTAAGCATCCTCCAATTTCAAATAAACCTGTTGGTCTATAACCTGGTGTTGTGTGACTTCTGAGAATGTGCTTAAGACATAGATAATAACATTTAACATTTGAATAATGTAGTCTTAACAATAGCAGCTCTGGAAGACATAGATAATAACATTTAACATTTGATTAATGCAGTCTTCAAACAATAGCAGCTCTGTAACTGTTGATGCATAAGACATGGATAATAACATTTAACATTTGAATAATGTTGTTTTAGCGTAGCAGCTTTGTAAGACATAGATAATAACATTTGACATTTGACTTTGAAAGAACATCTCACACTAATTAGTTGTTTAATCAATACTTATAGACTTGAATTAGTTACAGATCCACATATAAACAAAAAATCATTAAAAGCATTAAAGGAAAAGATTCAAACCAGTTTCAGACAGTAAAAGCAGCCCCCCACCCCGATATCATTACGGGGGGGAATGAAAACAGAGTTAGCAGACATTGGAATGTGGATTGTTTGAACGCATTGAGACACAAATTGTTGGGTAAAGAATTCTAACATTAGGTGTAACCACATAACTTTGTTGGAACTGATCAAAAATTCAATGTTCTTTTGTATTCCCTGTAATGAGGAATTTAAAAGTTCCTGAAGTGATAGGCAAGTATCTAATTAATTGGCAGTTAACACGGTACAACTGGCAAATTTTACTTGAATACAGTACCCATTGTGAAAAGCCTTAACAAGGGAGATATGAGTCTGGAAAACATCATGAAGGACTGGGGGTGGACCACAAGCCTGTCCATCTCTTTGTCGTTTTGCTGAGGTAAGCTTGAATTGTATAAAGTGCTGTATCAGAGAGTGAATTACAAAGGGATAACTCAGCTCCACTGAGCCATAGTAATCAAAAGTGGGGTGTGTCTGCTCTAAGTTTAAACTGTGTAAGTTAAGACATTCGGAAGCTTTGTGCGTACCTTATTGCCTTTTTGCTGTGCTGCAACTGGTGTATAAATTGCAATAAAGGTCACCTGAATCCACCCCATGACTCACACTCTCATTGAAAGTATGAGATCTAACA